TTATACAATGAGGTCTTTAGACACTCCGCTTTACCACTTTTTTTTTTACTTTTGTTTACATATTGTTATGTACATGGCTTTGGTGTTCTTTAGACCAAAGTTACATTCTTGTATCACTCCCTCGTGCTTTTCTTTGCACCCAGTTCATACCTGGACATATTTTATCATCCACCCTTTTTTGCTTGCAGATGCCAAATTAGTGTATGTAACTCAAAGAGGTTTCATTTAGGTTAATTTAATGCCTTTCCAGGCAAGCTTCAGATTATGGGAAAGAAATAGCCAAACAATGTGAACGCACCAACATAAAGGAACGAAGACATATTTGGAACCGTGTCTCATTAGTAGGTTAGGGTCTGCTGCACCTACCCATCTGCCAATATCTGTCTGCCAATATTCCCCAGTCTATTCCTGTTTCTAAATGCCGATTTAGATAAATGCTTTTCTAACCAAAATGAAACAGTATGGTATTTAAGTCAACCACGAAAATAAGCACTGACAGGTGTGCTCCCCACCTGAAAGGAAGCAGGACAGGCTTGATTTGAATCAGGCAGGAGGCCAGATGCAATCAGATTCCCAAAATCTGTAAACTCCACCAAAAGGAGAGATCAAACCCCATTCCCCCAGGACCCTCCAGATTGCGGGAGATCCTGGGAGGTCAGAATTGAGCAGGGCTCCCAAATCTTCAATAAAATGTGATTTTGTATAATAGGAATGGACGGGTGACAAAACCAGGCCATTCTCTTAAGGTTCCAATACATGGGATGACTGGGTACTTTTTCTAGAAAGACTTAATTTCTTAGAGCATTTTTAGGTTTGCAGCAGAATGGAGCAGAAGCTTCAGAGAGTTTCCATTGACTGGGTATTTTTGCGGCCCTGTCTCATACACACTACCTCTACCTCTGGAGTCCCAGAGCACCCTGGACTTCCATGTAAGGCAGGACACACACTGCACCGAGTACTTGAATGGACCTAGAGTAATTCACCAACCCAGTGAGCACTTGCCGTCCCAACCTGTCCAACATGGAAGCTCTTCAAAGGACCTGAGAGCCCAGATTGGTATTTGGTGCCCCTGGGAGCTGTCAAGCTACCATTTCACCAATACAAGTGTGCCTGGCTTTGAACAAACCCAATTAAAAAAATAATAATAATAATAATAAACAAACCCGATTATAAATTTAAAATCTGACTTAACACCAGAGGCTAATTGGGAGTGATCTTCGCACCACTTTCAAAAGATAGGCTCTCCACCTTCTCTAAGTTCGAAAATCATTCAAACTTCCCAGACCCCCTGTTGCAGGCAGTCCATTCTCCACGTTGTCCTTCAGCAATATCACCTGAGCCATGCTGTGTCATCTGGACGTTTCTCACATTCCAAATCGTAATATCCTCTCTTCCTTCCTTTCGAGGAATGACCCTCCCTCTCTCGAACCCTCTCTGCTCTCATTCCACAACCTCCACGGACACTGCCTTGGCCTCTCTGACCCAACAGAAAACCTCTGTCTTGATTCCCTGGGTCCTTCTGGTCTACCATCAGCAGAACTCTTTAACAGTTACCCCCAGAATCGATTGTTTTTTTTTTTT